TATATATGGATATGCATACGTAGTAAAAGATATACACCTGTATGTTTGTGTAGGCTATTCTTTGTGAATCCCTACATATGCCGATAGATTACGTTTGAATGAAAAAACTATCTGTATTGTATCTGCGTGCACGCAATCGCTATTTTAGCAGCTTCAACGCACGTGCGAGGATTCGCGCAAACATTACCTATGCATAGTCCTGTATCATACATACATGTTTCACCCACATACACCACACCACACCAAGCACGCACTTTGAATGCCTCCAAGGAGTTCATCCTGATCGCCGGTGGTCCGGTCTTGAACTCAACGAAATCAATCAAATCCTGAGTTTCCAGATGAGCACCTTCGTACTCGTCCACGATATCCTTGCGCACCAGTTTGATAGTGGGGAAGTTTGTGATGTCAAACTCGTCGGCCGCATCCTCGTTCACAGTGGCATCCACCTTGGCCACCTGATTATGGCGTAGATATGTGTATATGTGAGCGCTATTTGTATATAAACATGCATGTATATAAGTCGGCAGGTTTGGCATTATTCCTAACCTTTGTGAACCTGTATGTGGTGACCACTAAGCACTCCGATGTATATGTACATTTCGGCAACTGATCCAATGATGCGCTTGAATAAAGCGTCGCAGGTACTAAAGACGGAGCCATGACGGTATAAAATTCACTTTCCAAGGTGCATTGTACTGGGTTCCCCTCAGACAATTACTCATTACGATGCTACGAACGCATAAACACCCCGCCGAAATTCGGAGCACACCTTGGGACCCGAGTATGGAATACCCCCATTATATATGTCGTTGGATCACAGCTCATTTGGTTTTCAAACTGCGAACACAAGCACAAGCTCGCTGCTCAGACTGAACAAGCAAAGACCCCGTCATACCTTGATCTCCGTTTCGCTGTGTAGGAATTGTGCCACTTCGGCCCACCCGGGGGTCAGCTGTTTGCAGGTGCTGCACCAAGGTGCGTCTGTGTGACACGATATGATAACAACAGAAAAACATTGGCAAAAGAAATAAGAATGTAAGATGTATTATGTTCTGTGATTCTGATAGATATACCGGTGCAATATCCGAGCAGAGTGATCCAACTATCGACTCGTCATATGCTGTTGTCTGTATCATGTAAAAAATTCATATGTACCCGAATCAATGTCCGATTTCAATGTGACACAATCACATTTTGCCAATTTCAATGTGGTGCCTCTCTCGTTGCTATTAACTATACACAAACAATCTTCTATTGCGTAGTTATAGTTTACATATAATGTACTCGAAAGTATGAATAGAATCGCAGAAACAATCAGAAACATATTTAACTGCACGAATCTGCAACCATATACATGTTGATATCTAGCACCCATA